AACAATGTGGCCCACATACTGCAGAAGCTTATCCGGTGTCTCTCCAGTTTGATGTTCATACTTCTGTGCACTGCTCAAAGTATGAAAGGGGGGATTATGTTGACCCGGAATTAGGAAACAGCATAGGAAGTATCAATTGTGAATATGTGCAGATGGCCCTGCTGTCTTTGGGCACTTGCAGTCATGGATACAGGGTCATGAAAGGACAGCAAGGAAAACACCCAATGTCCTAACCCACCCGGGAACGTATGATGTCTTTAGGGAAACCCCCCAAAGGGAACATTTTTAGCTACTTCTGCTTTCTCCCTTCTTATCTACAGTGTGCCAGACTTACTGGGTGAAATCTTTATCTTATGTGTGTCAGCTTTGCTGGGTGGATTGCTTATGTAATCAGAAAGAATAAATACAAGGATTTCTTGTCATTCAGGGCTTCTCTCTTTTAGAGGAGCCCATCTTTGTTCAGCTGAATAAAAACGTAAAGCTTGAAGGCTACTTCTGGTTTCCTGTATTTTTTTTATCAAGCAAAACCTCAGAACCTGCACAACACTTCCCAGAATTACAGTCCCTATATACCTTACTGGGGGAAAGGGCCCACGCAGCTCATTTTCGATCTCTTAACATAGTAATGTTCCAATGGCCAAGGCAACTGTAAAAACATGGGTGTTTTTCTAATCACTTCAGAGAGCTGTGCATTTTGGTTAATCTAGAACACCCTCCAGACAAGTCCATGTCTGCCTGCTTGCCATGTGAACTTTCCTTTTCCAATAAAGGAGAATATTTGTAGCTCAGGTTTGAAATGAGGGGTCCTTGGTGCTCTGAGCTTCGCTGTTTTCTTGCAGATGTTTCATTGCCCAAACTAGGTAACATCATCTGTGTTACTGATGTTACCTAGTTTGGGTAATGAAATGTCTGCAAGAAAACAGCCAAGCTTGGAGAGCACCAAGGACCCCTCACTTTCATTTTCATAGCTAAACAGAATGCTGCCTGATGTCTAATCACTGGGTACATTTCATTGTTAGGTGGTTCAAATATTAGGCCATAATTTACAGCCATAGCTCCCTTCTGGATTCTCTCCCAGAGAGATCAGACTGGTAAGCATGAAGCAAGGCCTTTTCTGTTGCAGTGCCCCTCAATATTGGTACACCTTCCTAGGGAAGTTGGGTACAATTCCTTCAAACAGGAAATGAAAATCTGTATTGCTCCTTATACTTTAAATTTTTAAATTTGTCTTTTAGAGCAGCAGCCCTCAACCTTTTTGGCACTAGGAACTGGTTCCAGGGGAAAAAATGTCCATGGACCAGTGGGCGTGGTTTTGTGTGCTACCTAGATCCTACGTATACACACACAAAGCTTTGCTTGCTTGTGCAGCCCAGTTCCTAACGAGCCATGGCCCGGGGGTTGGGGACCCCTGTTTTAGAGGACTCCAGAGGTTTATAAAGCAAGCCATAAATATTTACAAATTAGAAGTACCTAAACAAAGCTACAGTATATAATACACTAGTAAAGATATTGCTTTTTAAAATGAGAGTGTCAAACCTGCAATGAACCTGACTGAAGCCATCTTGCTCGTTTTCGGTTGCCACAGGATTTGGGGGGAGGAGGAATGGGAAGTTCTATGCTAGCCTAAACAATTCTCTGTCCTGTGGGAACCAAGGTCATTTCTGTTCCCTCAGCCGGGGTGGGGGTGGGGGGAGGGAGATTGAGCCTAATGTCAGAAAGCCCGCCAAACTATTCCATTGGGAAACGCAGTTGATTGCATAGATTTGGGGGGTGGGAATTTTAACGTTGTAAAACTGTTGCTTTTGGAGGGAACTTTAGTCTTGATTTCACTTTTGACTGTGCCGATACTTTGTACCCAATAAACATGTTCTTAGAGGAAACTTAAGCCTCGGAGTTCTGCTTTAATTGGTCTCATCTATTGGAACCATGACATTGAGACTGTTAATCATTAGGAGGGAAGACACATGTAAAATACAGGGAGTGTACTATGAAACTGGACAGCATTGTCTGTGCCAAGCCTGTTTCCTTCTATGCACCAGAATAGAGTAAAATGAAATGCACATTTTGCAGTGAAGGCACAAGTCTCTATTCTCACTCAATTCCCTCCACATTTCTGTAGGCTGAATTAATCAAAATGGCAACCACCTTGTGCAGCATTAATGGAATAGTATTGGGAGCACAAAAGGATCCCACCTTAACATTTAACACTAAAAAAAGAGTTGCCCTATCAGGAAGAAGGGTGGCATATAAATTTAATAAACTGGTCCAGTTGATAGCATGGATAAAGGGGCTTCACAAGTAAGAACCTATCCATGTTTATTTGCAAGTGTCAATTCCAAGTGGGAGCATTAAAAGAAGCTGTCATCACTGTGGCAGATTACTGGACATTCTCTGGATGTTTGGTTTTCACTCCTATCAGCCTCAGCTCAATGATTCTTTTAAGATTGTGATTCCCATAACCAGATTACACTAGGCTGCCTGATACATAGGATCATAGCAGTGGCCTTTGTAATGTCTGCATATATACACGAGCCTTTCTGTATTTGAATTATCATGCTGGGGGGGGGATGAAATCAGGCTTCCCATAATCAGGTAAGCTGTCAAGATAGTTGAAGAAAGTGAGCTAGGCTCCCAAACTAAGATAAAGGTAGAACAGCTGGTGAAACTTGTTTTGTAAGATGGGCAGCTATATAAATTTGTCAAAATAAACACAAAGAAAAATTATTCCAAGCCACTAGGAAGGCTGGTCATTGGAAAACTCCATTCTTGCTGTTGATCTAAACTACAAAGTTGGATAGAAAAGGATAGGAGAGTTATCTCCTATCCAAACTAAAGCCTGACAAAGGAGAAAAGTGATTTGCCATTTCCTTCAGCCTCAAGTATTAGCTAATAATTTACCCATTAAAGCTGTAAAGATTTTGTGGAGAAATAGCCAGCAATAACCCTATTAAACATTTTCAGTGATAGAAAAGGGCAGTTAGGCAACTGAATTTGAACACTCTGCCTCTATTGCCTTGGGCAGATCACACCTGCCCATCCTCTGACTCCAAGTATAAAGATGGGAACAGAGACTTACCATGCAGGTTTGTTGTAAAGCCAAACAGAGCAGTTAAACAATGTAACTTAATTTGGCAGCTCACCCCCCCACACACACACACACCCCATAATTATAATACAACAAATAGAATGCTCAAAGTGACTTTGGGCTACTGTAATTGTTTCTCTTTGGTCTTCTATTAGAACAAACAATGGCTTGGACTAGGGGTGACATGATAGCAGTATTCCAGTATTTGAGGGGCTGCCACAAAGAGGGGGTCAACTTATTTTTCAAAGCACCAGAAGGCAAGACAAGAAACAATGGATGGAAACTAATCAAGGACAGAAGCAATCTGGAATTAAGGAGAAACTTCCTAACAGTGAGGACAATTAACCAGTGGAACAGCTTGCCTTCAGAAGTTGTGGGTGCTTCATCAGTGGAGGTTTTTAAGGAGAGACTGGACAAGCCACTTGTCTGAAATGGTATAGGGTCTCCTGCTTGAGCAGGGGGTTGGACTAGAAGACCTCCAATGTTTCTTCCAGCTCTGATTTATCTATCCCTTCCAAGTCATATTCCTTTAAAACAATATCCAAATGTTGCCTGGAAAAATTATTCATAATATTCTCTACCAAAAGAAAATATTTTGAATTTTTCTAGAAATCACACCAGAATAATTATGCTGACATGTCCTTCAGTTTATTTAAACTCTCTGCACAAATCTGGATAGCCCTTTTTTCAGAATGTGACTATTTTACATGTCCCTTCCCTTCCCCCACCCCATTCCCTCTTCACCAACTAGTCTGTCATTTAGAACAGGGCTTTTCAACCAGTGGTATGGGTACCACCTGTGGTACATTGGCACCTGGCAGGTGGTACACGATCATCCTAGAAAAGTGGTAGCGGGGAGGGAAATGAGTTGAACCAGTGGCAGCACCGCACAAGCCTGAGCGAGAGATGGCTGGAGCTGCAGGGCTGTCAGGGCTCAGCGGAAGTGCCAGGATCAGCGTTTCTTCGGGGCTGTCAGGGCTCAGTGGAAGCGCCAGGATCAGCGCCAGGCTCCAACTGGAGCTCGGCGCTGATCCTGGTGCTTCTGCTGAGCCCAGAAGAAGCACCGATCAGCTGGAATGTTTCAGCATCTCCAGGGTCTTGTGATTTACATTCAGATGCTTGGCAACTGATTCATATTTATGACGGTCAGTGTCCCGGGGTCATGTAAAGTGACCAAAACCTGCTGCAACCACCCAGCAGATGGGGGGAATAAAAACCAAACACCCCCCACACCCCACCCCTGCTGCCAATCCTCAACAGAAATGCTCACAACAATGAAAACCTCAGACAGGAGGAAGAGCGCCACTGTGTGGGCAGGCAGATGTCTTGCTCGGCTGTGCCTTGGGGGGCACTTTTTTCAGTGCCATTGTAACTTCAAACCGTCACTAAGCGAACTGTTGTAAGTCAAGGACTACCTGTACTTTATCACTTTTTTCCTTTTTGGGGGGGGTCATCAAATTTTTGACACCTTGCTAGGCGACTGGTGGTATTTGGATGTTGCCATATCCTAAAAGTGGTACAGTGGGTGAAAAGGTTGAAAAGCCCTGATTTAGAAGGATCACAAATTGTTTTTCAACAATTTCAATTAATTTGGTTTTTAAAATAATTTTAAAAAGAAACGGCCAATAATGAATATTTCATTTTAATCATATTTTAAAATTAGTATTATTGTATTAGTTATCTGTTTTAACTGGCTGTAAGCCGCCCTGAGTCCGTTAGGAGAAGGGCAGGGTATAAATTTGATAAATAATAAATAATAATAATAAAGTCAGATGAACTTTTAAAAATTCCCCCAGAAATGCTGGATATTGTTTTCATTTAAAAAGAACAATCCCAAAACCCGATTACATATAATTAAAAACAATGTAAGATTTTGAATTTATTCAGATTAAATCACAAAAAGTCCTGACTATATATGTATGTTTATACATACACCCCCACAATATGAATAAAGCATCTTGGGATGGCTTCTGTCCAATTCCACTTATGTCCTCACAAAATGCTTCATTCTCCAAGTTTAGAGAAATTGTTCTCTTGTTGTCTGCCAAGCTCCTTTTCTTCCAAGAGTTTCTGGTTTTCAGCTCTCAACCTGTCCAGTTCCTGTTCTAACTGACTTAGCCGGGGGTCCCCTGCAAATTTCTTGTTCTCCATCTGTAGGCGGTTGTTCTCATCCTCCATCCTGGAAAGACACTTTTCCAACTCCAAATATTCCTTGATCAACTCTTGTTTGCTCATATTCTGTAGACTCTCTACATGATATCTCTCATATGTTTCTGAGAAGTCCTTCTGGAGGAATTCAGTACCATCCCCTCCCATCCCATCACTACTACCACCATCCTCCTCTTCTACAAAGTCTTCCTCACTCGTCTCATCTGACTTGGTGACAGGTCTTTTGGGGTAAAGGTTTGTCTTCAAATCTGGTTCTTCTTGATCATGATCCTCCATCAAAAACTGTGTGGTGTTATATGGTGCAACAGGCTGTCCTTTAGCAAACATTTCTGCCCGCACCCTGGAAGCCCGTTGGCTCTGCTTTTCATCAAACTTCTTCTTCTCTTCCCAGGTGAGCTTGTAATAAGGCTTCCAATGTTTTTTCTTTTTTGAAGGGCGCCTCCTATGTTTCTTTTTGCGCAATTGTTTTTCCTCTTCTCTACCAAACTGGGATCTGCACCTCTGGTCAACAGGCCCACAGTATTCCTGCTCATATAGGTCTGGCTGCTCTCCATTACCTTCATCCTGGGTGTCTGCAGCTGCACCAAATGTCTGGTTCTCAATCTGATTAATCCCTTCTTCTGGGGAACACAGACTTTGGCTTTCTCCAACCACAGGAACTGTGAGACCTATACCAGAGAAGGCAACATCAACACTCACCAGCTTGCCATCCTGCTGCTTGGTGGCTTCTCTTGGTTGCCACCTATCAGCCATCCCTTTTTCTTGGAGCAGTTCCTGGTTTTTGGGTGAAAATCCAAGAAAAGGTCCCCCTCCACCACTGTCTCCACAACCTGCACCTCTGCAGGGAGGAAAAGATGTTTTGCCATTTGGTTGCTGCCTCAGCTTGGCAGAGAGGGCTGCATCAGCCATAGCTGGTGCTTTTAGCAATTTCCTCAGCTCGAAGGAGACTGTTGGCTAGTAAGTCTGAAGGGTTGATTCCCTCTTCTCTTGAAGGGGGAAGAATTTAATCAGCCAACAGTACTTTGCAATGATACTGGGGCTGCCACCTTTACAAGTTCTGAGAAATCAAATACTTTTAACACTTCAGCCCAACTTGCAGCCTTTATAGAACTCTTACTGCTTAATTATAGAATAGTTATCAGGAGTATTAATCCGGATGCCTTTCTTGCTTTTCCTTAGTTTTCTAGTGTGTTACAAACATTAAACCTTGCAGAACGAAAAAACCCAGCAACTGTCATGGTCACCTAATGGTCTTTAAATGTTCGTTACCTTTTGGGAAGTGTGGAAGTATCAGTTTTTTCCCCCCGTCTCTGCTTCTCCCGCTGTCACAACGTAGAACTGAGGCACATCTCAAATTACAAAAAGATTAAAAGCAAAAAAAAAAAGTTCCAGCTAAAGAACGAGCCACTGCAACAGCGCCAGTATGTCCTCAAAAACACCTTATACGCAACAATAGTTATATAAGAAAAAAAATGAAAAAAAGTTCCAAGAGATGAAAAGGCCACTGAAGAGTTAAGCAGCAGGTGATAAAGTGTTAAGTGTCCAAATCTACACAACCAAGGGTTAACGTTGCTACAGTCCAGGCACGAAAGTGTTGAAGGCAGTTCCAGTGCCAAGGAGATAAGTTTGTAAGGGTTCCTCCCCCCCACATCAATCTGGACCCCAATAACCGCTTAAAAATGTTTTCCGTCCCAAGCTTTAGCTATTGAAAACTCTTCAACCTCGAACGGGTTAAAAACGGTTTCCACATCGGAAAGAGTTAAGCAAAATGAGGGTTAACTCATCTACGCACACCTTCTAGAGTTCGAATCCGCCCTCCTTGCAATTAACCCCACCCCCCACCCCTTTCTTCCCTTACTCAAGCACCACCAGTTCCGAACTGCTTCTCTTAGTACGCTTCCTCGCCTTATATAAACGAACCAGCCCCTTCCTCTCAGTGCGCAGCCGCTCATTCTTCTTGTCCCAAAGTATCTCGGGATTTGTGGTTTCTCCTTCCGATCGATTCTCCGGCTCTCTCTTAATACAATGACTACCCTTCCCAGAATCGCGACAGGGCACTGTTTGTTAGCCAATCAATATTCAAGGAGGGCTGGGCGAAGAAGGAAGCACTCTTTGGTAGGCTACCTAAATAACTAAAACATGAACGGCTATAAACGGGAGTCCTTCAAAATTAACTGAGCCAATCAGAGGAGGATAGTTGGAGGCGGTGAGAACTGGACTATACCAACAATTTAAGAGAATCTTAATTTTTTTTTCGCGTGTTGAACAGGCTTCCTGAGTCCTCCTAGAGCTTATCTTCAAACGAATGTGACCTCAGATGCTTCATCTGTCATAATAGTGCTGAAGGAAACTAGCTTTGTAATTTACCCCTCAAGAAAAAAAATGGTAGTGCCCCAAAAGTAGTTCCAATATAACTCTAAAGAATAAGAGGATTGTAATGAGTCACTCGCTTAAGATCGCGGAATTACAGTAACTATTCAAGAATTTAGGGGGAGCTGTGATGTCATCTAGTGGCAAAAAGATTTGGATAGGAGAGTTGAGTAGGAAGCTATTGCTGGCGGAAGGTCACTGTTCGTTGTGTAAAGAAACCAGTTACGTTAACCTATGACTGACTGATCCTACGTGGAGGGAGCTGTAAACAAACCGAAGTTGGCAATTAGTTCCGTCTTAAAGGCATAAAGTCAGTCCTCTTGCTAACTCAAATGATATAATTGGAGGCCTGGAAAGGGGATTGTAGTCTAGCGGTTAAAGACTGAGACATGGGCTCTGTCGTCAGAGGAAGACATGCGCAAATTGCAACATATTAAAGTAGAAAGTGTATTAGTTACTGCTAGTTTTTCCCTCTGGCTGTGAGGGAGCAGGGTGGTATGTAAGGACAGTGACTGGAAAGGGAGCTGCAGAACTTGAGTCTTCCGAGCACTTCCCTTCTATCTTAATGCCTAAAAAGTAGCTCAAGTCACCATGAAGCAAATGCATTCTGTATGTGCTCAGAGGCCAATTTATCTTCAGTTCTGTTTCACCTGTGATGAGAGCAGGATACCCCCTCTTCACCCCAAAGAGAAAATACCTTGGCAAATACAGGAAGAACCCAATACAAACTTGTCTGACTCAGCGGCATCCTGAGGCTAAATAAACAAACACTTGTGAGAAAGGAAGAATTTTAAAAATAAAACGGTCACAATTGATTAACAATAGAAAGATTAGCCAAGCCCTGCACGTAGGCACTAGATTCCAGGAGGTTTGGCTAGAAGACACACTTAACAAAACAAAAGGATGGCAGAGGGAAGTTCTAAACAATGTAACCAAGGGGGGGGAGGGATGATGTATTTTGGCTAGGCGGATCGGACAGATTGTGCCCCCGGAAGTCCTCTCAAATGGAACCTATGGGGAGGGGACGGGTGTCGCGATAGATGTGTATATAATGTGAGTTTGAATATTTTTGTGTGGTCTCTGCATTTAGAACTTCCTGTTGAAGTCTCTCACCAGGATCCACCGCGCTTTGCAAACCGCTTTTCTATTTTCTGCAGAATAAACTCTTTTTCTTACCAATCCAATTTTGTTGGTATTTTAATCACGTTTCCAACAAATTGGCTGCCCAAACGTGGGGCCTTGGGCATCTGTTCCTGCATCTTCGGGAGGCGAGGTCAACTGAGGAAGGCATGCCCCAATGATTTCAATGGTCCAAAGTTGCAGTCGCAGGTCGAGGAAGCAGAACGGAGCCAGGCCCACAGACCAAATAGTGATTGGTAAGAACTGAGGAGAGGGGACCAGAGAATTACCAGGACAAGGACCGGGCAACTTCGTGCACAAACCTAGGTGAGTAAAACTTGGGGTAAACCAAGGAATAAAACCTAGGCAGTCGGGGGTGGTTGGGTAGCACAGTTTGAGTCTGAGATCTATGAGAGGTGTGTGTAAGACGCCCCGAGGGTCCACAGGACTGGCAAGACATACACAAGCTGTGGATGTCCCGAGGGTTTGGACTGGCAAGGTGGAGTGAGGGAACTCCTGAGTAAAAGGAGAAAGAGGCTTGGTGAAGCAAACCGTGGTCTCATTAGATTGGTAAGGACAACAAAATTGTGTGGTAAACCAACCATGGGTAATTTGGGAGGGTCCCAGGAGAAGGAATGTGTGAAAAAGGTTAGGAAAAATCCAAAACTAAAAATAGATCCCCACAGCCCATTAGGAAAATTGTTAGAAAACGGGGAAACCACCATACAACAAGCTGATTACTAAGTTAAATTTAACAAAAGAAGATATGGTAAATTTGTGCTGCTTCGTATGGTGGGGGGGATGAGAAAATTGAGTAGCCCCAAACAGGAAAAGGAAACATAAACCAATCTTGCTGGCACAGACACTTTGTGTCTGTAGCCAGGGTAGAAAAGAGAGTTTTGAGTTTGAGCTCAAGGACTGCTTTGGAAAGAAGGAATGAGAGAGAAATGTGTGTATGTCTCTGTGTGAGTGAGAAGACCCTTTTCCCAATCACAGTTGGATTTTGTTTTCTCTGGTCTTTCCTAGCCGCAGAAAGGATCTGTTGGAGTTCAGACCCTGGAAAGCATGGGGGTTTGGCCAGAGCGCAGGACCTTTTGTTAGGGAAAAGGGAAAGGCTGTGTGAAAATGGAATGGAATGGGTGAATGAAAGAATTGGATTTGAGTAACCAGCTGGTTAGGTCCTGTAAGCAAAGCAAAGTTAGGAAAATGGAATTGGCTAAATAAAGGTACTTAAAAGAAAAATAAGAATAGTGATTCTCTTTTTCTCTCTATCTTTCTGTGCAATCACGTGGTATGTTTAAGATTCTTGCCTTCTCTAATTCGAGTTAGCTGAGATTTGTGGTGGGAATGACCAGGATGTGTAGAACTAAAAGTTCTGTTTTCTTTTCTGTTCTCTTTTCCTTGTCTTGGTATGTATATGTGTGTCAAAGTTTTTGTGTGTGAGGTAAATGTGACTGTTAATTGTTTCTAATCCCAAGAGAAATACTTTCACTCAGTTTGTCTGGCCAATAAAAAGAGTGAAGAAAGATGTGTTTGTTTTTCTTTTCCTCTCTCTCTCTATATATATACTCTTAAGAACAGCCCAAAGTTAGCAGGAATAATAAAGTTGGAAGGAACCTTGGAGGTCATCTAATCCAACCCCCTGCTTTCTCTGGCTGTGTTGCTTTAAGGGTGAGAGAAAGAGAGACAGAAAGGAAAAGGGGGGGGGTTTTGATCTTTTTAACTATTTTTTTCTGTTTAGAATTCTGGTTTGAGGAAGGAGGGGTGGATGGGAATGTTTTAACCTACTTAATGGAAATTTGTTTCCATCTGAATGGAACTAATTAAATTAGAATTTGACTAAATTTATATTAAAAGCAAAGAGTTGATACTAGAGTTTGATACAAAACTATTTCAGTAACTCAGATTTTTTGTGTGTGTGGAGTTGGTTTTTGTTGTTGTTTTATTTTATTTTTTTTATGTTTTTATGTCTGTGTGCAGGACACACTGATAGGAAAAAAAATACCTAAGAAGGAATTGGAATTCAACCCTTGTTTAAAACAAAGGAGTTGAGAAAATTTTTGGGATTATAAATGAGCTATGTTGTTTTGAATAAAGATTAGTGTGCAAACAAACTCAAGCAGAGTTTTTGGTAAAGCGCTCCTTTGTTTGCTCTTTACTAACCAATTTGTTTGTAAATACAGACAAAGCCATGGCTAGGAGAAGGGGGGTTTACACAGAAGTGGGGGAAAAGAGAGATGAATGAATGAAATTGGAAGTAGAAG